GGTGGTGCTTGCGGGTGGGCTTATTAAAGAGCTCAATGCTCTGTCGCAAGTGTGCGAAGGCCATGACTTTGTGCGAGAAGTCCCAACGCTGGCGCTGCCGTCGCGTATCGTGCGGTTCAGTGGAGCGCAGTGTCAAATCGGGAACTTTCTTTTCAAAGTCAAACCTGCCGATACGAACCATCGTACGCATCATGCGGCACTGGGCATCGCGACGCCCTGTCTCAGATGTCGTCGAAGACTTCAAAGTATCCTCCAGAACTGCCAGCGACTGGTACAGTTTTTGTCGCGACGTGTGCTCGTCCGAGATGCTCAAGTGCGAAATGAAGGTACTTCTAAGATTTGATACATACCTTCACAATCGATATATACATTATGAGATGTTATAGATTGGTGGAGTGGGCTCCGTTGTCGAGATTGACGAAACGTCGCTCAAGAAGAAATCCAAGTACAATTGCGGAAAGCGGCACCCGGAATGTTGGCTTTTTGGTGGCGTCGACAGAACGACGAAGAAGTGGTTTGGCGTACTGACTTATGAAGACCGAACCAAGCGTACGTTGTCTGCTCTCATTCGAAAACACGTGCGACCCGGTACGTTGATCATGTCGGACAAATTCGGGTCGTACGTGTCTTCGAATGAAGAGCACACGTTAGCTAACAACCCTACCTTGGCAGGGATGGGATACTCCCATCAATGGGTAAATCACTCAGAAAACTTCGTGAACCCTGCCAACGGAGCCCACACGCAGACCGTGGAGGGTGTGTGGGAAGTCCGCGTGAAGCAGTATACCAAGGCCATGCGTGGAGTTCATCGAGACCACCTGCCAGGCTATTTGGATGAGTTCCTTTGGCGCTCGTGGTACTTTCCAAAAAGAACTCGAGGTAACTTGTACACTTTAAGGGACTTGTTATTGCAATCAATAGATCCTGTTAATTTGCTTTGAATTTCGAACATGTACAAACATTTAAAACTATTTGCGGGGGCAATACTAATGGAGTGCCCTACTGTCAACTCGGACAAATATGGATTGCGCGCCTTTGGTAGACCATCAACTTCACACGCATACCGTCAGGAAGCTTCCACAGTGGGAAAGTGGATGGAAATGCCAACATGCATCATGGATCAACGATCGCAACCATCACGCGGCAAGTGCATGTACTTGCAACATGCTCGAGTTTGCCTGTGAGCAATGCGGTCGAGTGTGTTGCAGCACACAACAGTCACGTCGAAATCTTCGAGTAGTTGACATAGCGCCACTCGCCCAAACCTGGACAGGGCGCGACTGTGGCTGCATGTACGTGAAAGTTATCCTGGATGCGGTCTCCATTCATGAACACATTGCAGTCGTGGCACTTCTGCACCAACAACGCTGGCCTTGATGCGCACTCAAGCCATCGACGCGCACAACGGACACCTGAACGATGTGAAATTTCTTCACACCTAGCACGTCGAAAAACGCGTGGCCAAGAATGGCGATTGCTAAGTTCCTGACCTTACATAGACGAAAGAGGTGCACACCCAACGCCGCGGCGCAGGTGTCTCATTCTCAATGGGACCAATTTCTCGAGGCGCGCACGGCCAGCGTGGCTTGCCAGGTGATTCCGGTGCCTTCCGTGGACACTGGATCGTATCGAAGGACGGCGTATGTATGTCAACGTGTTGAGGAGGATGCGGCGCAGTCGACGTTCGAGGCGATGTGGTTCCGACGAGATCCGCACGTTGGACGCGAACAACGTGTTCAACGGGACAGCACAGGTCGATCCTTCCAAACGACCTTTCACGCTGCTATGAATGCCCGAAAAACAAAGCGGTCTCTGGACATGAATGCAGAGTTTTTTGTTTCCTTAAAAAGTCGACTCCATCGAGTTGGGTCACAGCTCCGTACCACTCGACATTTCGTCGTGCGTCGTGAGCGAGTCCATGGCCCCGAAAAAGTCCCAAAAGTCATCGTCCAGGAGCTTCAACGAGTCCACATCCGCCAGGATCCCACCTAGGATCGTCACCATGAGCAACCGCATTGGCATTGTCGTCATACCATGCTGGCACATGATAGAGTTGTCGACAACGTAGTCGACGTGGTCGTTGTGTCGTACTGCCAAGTGGCCACAGCCAGGGCCGTGAGGCTGGGGAGACGATCTACCATCATGCAAATATTCAACGATCGTGCACATGCGATCTCACGTACCCTGGTTGTATGCGACGAGTGGGCACAACATTCAACGACTTGACTCCATCCAAGCACACGAGCTGGTTGTTCACGATAAAGTCCAAGTGGTTCCCGTGCTCAATGCTCAAGTGTCCGCACCCTCGGCCATGGGCTGCGTGGTGTGGCACTTCGCCAGGGCACGGCGTCGTCACTTCGCGTGGCTGCAGTGGTCGCTTTGATGCGGTCGGGTGCGATGCGCAGTGGGTCATTTCGTGCTTCTTTAGGTCCACTCGGCGAGTGTACTGCTTGTCACACGTCGGGTACGGACACGAAAAGCGTTTCTCGCCGCGATGGGTGCGCTCGTGACTGCGCAAGTCGGAGATTCGTGCAAACTGTTTGCCGCATTCGCCGCACGGATACGGCTTCTCGCCCGTGTGGACGCGCATGTGCACCTGCATGTCGGCCTTTCTAGCAAACGTTTTGGGGCAGCGTTCACACTGGAAGGGCTTCAACCCGACGTGCGCCGTGATTTGGTGGCGCTTGAGGTTGCCCTTGAAACGGAAGGTCTGCGCGCACACGTCACACACAAACTTATTCACAGGATGCTCCCCCGACGACGCGCCATCGTCGTGCACAGGAATGCTCATGGCCGAGGAGATTTCTGGGTGGTCGTTGCGCTTCGTCGGGTCCACCCTGGCTCGCTGGCTTCATCTCCAACAGCGCCACATCGTACGTTGTGATTGGATCGCATCGCCGCCGTCGGAAAACGTATTCAATTTTATTGCATACATTACCCAAGTCCACTTTGATTTTTTAAATGCAAGTCACTGTGCATTGTCCATTTCGACAACTCCACGCAGCGCGAGGTGCCGAGATGGTCGCGATGCCGCCGGACCTGCAAATGTATAGGTTTCGTTTGCGCTCGTGGCGTACACGGCCACCGGCGATGGACCCACTCGTTGCGAAGAGAGCAGGGGCGGCCATGGCTGACAAATCCAACCCCGAATATTCCGGCGATGGTCTACCCTCGGTGGACGTGAACTTGGAATCGCGCCATGGCGACCATTGTCGAGAGAAACGATAAAGTGGTGTGAGTGGTCATGACGCGTGGCGTGTGCGAATATTGGATAATCTTGGTCGTCGTCGCCCGATTCCGTTTTACGAAGCATGAGACAAGCGACAAGTGCGCGAATTACCACCAGGCATGTCCTCACGAACACTCGAATGGGATCGACTGGGGGGCCACTCAAGAGGTGGTCTTTCACGCTGCGCGCAGTTATTGCAGTCGCAGCGAGTGGAGGGCCAACCTAGTCCACGTCATCCGCGCGCGAATGACTGCAGTGACAGAGTGAGGAGCTAGTGCTTCCAACTAGACCACTTGACCGGAGTACATTTATACGTACGCTACTACCACCACTCCCCGGATCGTTGCCACCGAGGTAGCACGTGACCGCGACGGCGTGCCTGTGTCCTGCATTATGACGTCCATCGACGAACGACGAATCTCACGTCAAGTTCAGGTCGTACTCCCCGGATTCGCTTCGTCCGGGTTGAAGCTGTTGAGGTCGAAGAGGTCAAAGGTTCATCCGTTCATAGGAAACGACAGGCTTCGGACGCTGGACGTGGCCACTGCATGGAGCTGGCCTTGACAATGCGCATGATGTGTCCTACGGCCATGCTCAACGGGCACGAACCGTTCTCAGGGGACGTGCCTCGGCTCCCAGCAGTGTTGACCCAACGATGAGAAGCTGCCGCATCCAGTTCGTGGTCTCGAAGCAGCAGCGACATGGAGTGCAGCTCTGTTCAGGGCATCCGCTCCACGTCAACCTTGTCCGCTGGATCGACTCGCCTCATGACGCCGCAGCGATGATGCACGTCGTTCAAATTAGTTGTTTGGATCGATGGAATCCGTCGATGAAAATCAGTATATTTTGAACGTATTCTCGCTGGTCGACAACAGATAAATGAATGCTATTTATATAGATGAAACCAGGTTGAATACAAGTTTCAGCACAACAGAGGCATCGGCCTGAACTTTCAACGCTCCCTTCCCATGTCCTGTCGACGCCGACAACGGGCGGATTGTTGCTCACTGACTCGAGCCTCGGTTGGATGTCCCAAGCGTCGTGGTTTCGATCCCCCGCGTCCGTGGAGGATGTCACCGACGGC